AAAATTAGGTAAAACAGTTGATTCCTCAGTCTAAAAAAATATTCAAAAATTATTTGAAACCACCCTATGTCTAATTAATTGCACCGAAATCCTTTCGGGGGGGCCCTGAATGTCCAAAAGAAATTCCACCCCTTGAACACCTTGTGCACCCCATTCAACCCCTTGGATGATGGAAAATTAGGAAAAAAATTCAATTTTCCAGTCCAAAAAAATACTCAAAATTATTTGAAACCACCCCATGTCCAATTAATTGCATTTGAATCATTGGGGGCGATGCACTGAATGTTGAAAAGAAATTCCGACCCTTCAACACCTTGTGCACCCCATTCAACCCCTTGGATGATGGAAAATTAGGAAAAAAATTCGATTCCTCAGTCTAAAAAAATACTCAAAAATTATTTGAAACCACCCCATGTCTAATGGCATTTGAATCATTGGGGGCGACGCACTGAATGTCCAGAAGACATTTCACCCCTCAAACACCTTATCCACTCCATTCAACCCCTTGGATCATGGAAAATTAGGTAAAACAGTTGATTCCTCAGTCTAAAAAAATATTCAAAAATTATTTGAAACCACCCCATGTCTAATTAATTGCACCGAAATCCTTTCGGGGGGGGCCCTGAATGTCCAAAAGAAATTTCACCCCTTGAACACCTTGTGCACCCCATTCAACCCCTTGGATGATGGAAAATTAGGAAAAAAATTCAATTCCCCAGTCCAAAAAAATACTCAAAAATTATTTGAAACCACCCCATGTCCAATTAATTGCATTTGAATCATTGGGGGCGATGCACTGAATGTTGAAAAGAAATTCCAACCCTTCAACACCTTGTGCACCCCATTCAACCCCTTGGATGATGGCAAATTATTAAAAAAAATTAGATTCCCCAGTCTAAAAAAAATACTCAAAAATTACTTACAACCACCCCATGTCTAATTAATTGCGCCGAAATCGTTGGGGGGGATGTCCTGAATGTCCAAAAGAAATTTCACCCCTCAAAAACCTTGGGCACCCCATTCAACCCCTTGGATCATGGAAAATTAAGAAAAAAATTCAATTCCGCAGTATAAAAAAATACTCAAAAATTATTTGAAACCACCCCATGTCTAATGGCATTTGAATCATTGGGGGCGACGCACTGAATGTCCAGAAGACATTTCACCCCTCAAACACCTTATCCACTCCATTCAACCCCTTGGATCATGGAAAATTAGGTAAAACAGTTGATTCCTCAGTCTAAAAAAATATTCAAAAATTATTTGAAACCACCCCATGTCTAATTAATTGCACCGAAATCCTTTCGGGGGGGGCCCTGAATGTCCAAAAGAAATTCCACCCCTTCAACACCTTGTGCACCCCATTCAACCCCTTGGATGATGGAAAATTATTAAAAAAAATTAGATTCCCCAGTCTAAAAAAAATACTCAAAAATTACTTTCAACCACCCCATGTCTAATTAATTGCGCCGAAATCGTTGGGGGGGATGCCCTGAATGTCCAAAAGAAATTTCACCCCTTTAACACCTTGTGCACCCCATTCAACCCCTTGGATGATGGAAAATTAGGAAAAAAATTCAATTCCCCAGCCTAAAAAAATACTCAAAAATTCTTTGAAACCACCCCATTTCTGATTAATTACATTTGAATCATTGGGGGGCATGCCCTGAATGTCCAAAAGACATTTCACCCCTCAAACACCTTGTGCATCTCATTAAACCCCTTGGATCATGGAAAATGAGGAAAGACAGTAGATTCCCCAGTCTAAAAAAAATACTCAAAAATTATTTGAAACCACCCCATGTCCAATTAATTGCATTTGAATCATTGGAGGCGATGCACTGAATGTCCAAAAGGAATTTCACCCCTCAAACACCTTGTCTACTTCATTCAACCCCTTGGATCATGGAAAATTAGGTAAAACAGTTGATTCCTCAGTCTAAAAAAATATTCAAA